CGTGAAGCTGGCCCCTGCTGCAGAATGGGAAGAAACATGGCTTTTGTTGTACACTTTTCAAGCAGCTGACTTTATGCACTTCCGACAATACTATCAAGTTTGTGACATTTACAGCATTTCTCTTGTGGGAAGTTATGGCACGTTTTTCACTGATAGGGTCCACCTTTGGAAGAATATAATGACAGCTTCATTAGAGAGAGAGGAGGGTCAGCAAGAAAAATGTTTCCTTTGCACTTCTTGGAGCTGTAAATGTCACTGCTCATTGTAAGGAAATGTGTCCAGGCCAGAGCTGATAAACCAATCAAGTGACTTCAGGTGAAGGCATTCATAAACATGTTTGAAACTTGTCTGGCAGCTTTAGACCAGAGGCTGAGGAATGACTTCCTTGGGAGAGAAGGAGAGAACACAGCACCACTCTTCCAACTAGGAAAGGCACTTTTCTTTCCAGAGACTGCCCTGGGCAGAGCTCAGACTGCTCTTTCCCTGCCACGCGGGGTCTGGTATAATCTGCCTTACGTAGAACCAGCATTCTGCCCACTGGTGCCTCTTCCTTGCTCATTCATAAAACTCGTACTTAGAATCCTCAAAAAGGATGTTACAAGGCTTGTGTTAGCTCCCCCATTTTCTGGGTAAATAAACTGAAACTTCAAAGGGTGGTGTGATTGACAGAGGGTCACCCAGTCAGAGTGCCCTGAGCCTGGACATCTCCCTGTCTCTGGGAATCATCCTGAGCCCTAGCTTTCTAAAACCAGGTAGATTCAGCATCGCAGCGCTGGCTGCAGGTCTATCTGCTGTTCTCACAGGGGTTGAGAATTTTATTAAACACCAAATGTGTAGACACCACACACACACACACACACACACGTGGTATATAGTCTAAAAGTGAAATATTCAAAATCTGAGCACATGCCTCTGAAATGTCCTTCATGGTAGCAAATTTTTACCTCTTAAAGTCTATTTGATTTTTGGAAATGGAAGAAAATCATTTGGAGCCTATGATATTGTGATTTATAATGAGAAATATAGATCTGATCTTTGTCTCCAGTTCCTGACATGGGCTCCTAAAGCCCTTGCAAATTCCTAAGTAATACGAGCACTAGGAGCATCTTTTGTGCTAATGAGGTGACTCTGGGCAGGGTCCTGGATGGCTCCTGGTTGGGGGTTGGTTGGTCACAAGAAAGACAAGCCATGATTTGAAGCTTGGAATTTTCAGCAGCCCCTCCCCACTCCTCTACAGAGGAGAGGGGGTTGGAAATGGAGTTAATAATTAATCATGCTCATGTGAAGAAATCTGCCTAAAATCCCAGTAGTACAGGGTTCAGAGAGCTTCCAGGTAAGTGAAAGCATCTGTGTACCAGGTGAGTGAAGCATCCCAACTCCACAGAGACAGAAGCTCCCTCCCAGACATCACCCTATTCATCACTTCATCTGGCTGTTCATCTATATCCTTTATCATAGCCTTTCATAAACTGGTAAAGGTAAGTGTTTCCCTGAGTTCCGTGAGTTGTTCTAGCAAGTTAATTGAACCCAAGGAGGGAGGTCGTGGGAACCTCTGATCTGTAGCCAAGGCAGACAGACATTGTGGGTAACCTGGCTCCTATGACTTGGGATTGGCATCTGAAGTGGAGGAAAAGTCTTGTAGGACTGAGCCCTTCCCCTGTGGGATCTGACACTGTCTCTGGGAGGGTCAGGGATCTGGCTTTACCTGGGCAGAGTGTCAGAATTGAGCTTAATTGTAGGACACCCGGTCACAGAGAATTGCCACCTATGTGTCACAGAGAAACTCCCACACATTTGGTGACCAGAAGTATTGGAAGTGTTTTGTATGAAAGTAAAGGGAAAGCCACAGGAGGAGAAAGTCTTAGGTTCCGCCTCTACAGAGCCTGGCAGTTCGGTGGATTGAGTGAGCTGTGAATTTTTTTTTTAAAGATTTTAATTATTTATTTGAGAGAGAGAGAATGGAGAGGGAGAGAGAGAGCATGAGAGAGGGTAGGGTCAGAGGGAGAAGCAGACTCTCTGCTGAGCAGGGAGCCCAATGCAGGACTCAATCCTGGGACTCCAGGATCATGACCTGAGCCAAAGGCAGTCGCTTAACCAACTGAGCCACCCAGGCGCCCGAGCTGTGAATTTATTTAGTGGATAAAGTGGTAAAGTGGGTAATCGGGATGGGGAGGGAGGGGCAGAGTGAGGGTGTATGTAGATGGATGTGTTGATGTGTTTTGCTGCCTACCCTGAGCCACGCACCCCGGCTGGTGCTGCTGTCCTAGTCCTCAGCTCATCTGTGGCCACACTACAAATATGGGTATTAGTATCCCCATCTTCCAGGTCAAGGTCAGAAGACATAAAATTACATTTTTCCACCAGTTAGTGGCAACACTGGAAGTAGAATCTAATTTGCCTTAAGGGAATGAGAACTTTTTTTTTTTCATTCAAAAAATGAAAGAAACAAACAAACAAAAAAGAAACTCATAAAGCAAAGAGATGATTTTCTCATTTGGCTCCAACAACTGGCTCTGCAGATAATTTTAAACCAATGAATTTGAAAATGTTTTGAGAAAGGGCAGCATCATGTTAGTAGGAGTAATGTTCCCAAGGAGACCAGTATGATGGGGACAAACACCTCACGTGGCTGCTTCTGCATTATTTTTCTTTCAAGTCAGAGAATTTCCCAGCCACACCTTGGATAGCGTTCTTTAGAACTCTAGATCTTGGCACTAGAACAAACCTTGGAGACCTTGCTCAGCACCCTCATTCCAGGGAGGCAAAACTCAGCACCAGAGATGGGGAGTAACTTGCTCAAGTTCACACAATGAATTTGTGCCAGAGCCTTGACTACACCCCAGATGCCTGATGATACAGCTGCACCCTGCTTCCTCCCCACATTCCCATTCCTCACTGACGAATCTCCTAACAAGAACTTTTTATGTGTCAGACACTTAAAGTGCATTCCCTTATTACATCTTCAAGGAAATGTTATGGGTAAGAAGGATAATAAAACCAGAGAAATTAGATAATAGGGCCAAGTTACAGAGCTAGGAAATTGAGGCCCTAAGACTTGAACCCAGGTCTGCCCACCTCCAGGTTCCATGTGTTTAACACCCAGCACTGCCTCCTTCTGTCCAAGCTCCTTCTCCTCCTTCCTTTTGTGTCCCAAGGGGCCTGGGATAAGGCACTTAAACCCATGCTCCCTCTAGCTAGTCACTTCCCTTCTTTCCGTGTTTAACAACACAAATAGCCTGTCCTCCTGGCACGTTTGTTTTGTTGGAGGCTTGCTTTATTCCCTGGGAACTCAGAGGAACAATGAGCTGTTACCCAAGCCCTCTGGGGCTCCGCCCCCATCCTGGACCACTTCCTCAACTTCCCCTGGTCACGCTCACCCCCAGTAGAGACTGCGTGGAGGCCCCTCCAGCTTGTCTACAAAGTGCGTCAATCACTTGTTTACTGGGTTTTCCTGCCTGGCTCTGGGGGTTCCGCTGGCTATTTCTTCTCTCTGAAAGTTCTCCTGAGGTGAGCTTTGATCTTCAGAGGGGAAGGGGCAACAGGAAGATGATGAGAGATGCTAGGAGTCTGTCAGCATCTGACTCACTCTGGAAAAAAAAAACCGCCCTCACTTAAAGCAAAGCAAGGATGCTGGTGAAAGCTGCATCCCTGCCAAGGGTCTGCATAGAAGTCTTCCTTTTTTCTGGGACAGAGTTGGAAAAGGAATAAAATTTCCACAGGCCAGAAGTAAATTCTCCTAAGCTTTTCTACACTTAGCTAGCAGTAATAGTCACTGAATAATAAACCAACATATAACCTTTCCACAAAAAGCCATGGCTGCGGACCCCCCAGTGTAGAGAGATGTTTTTACATGTGCGTCTTCCCTTGGATAAGGTTGCTTGGGCCCTCACAATGCATATTAACATGAAAATGTACCACTCAGTAAAGACAAGTAAATAATATTAAAATAAAGTATCAGTCAGGGTCCCAACAAGAAATGGAAGAGATACTCAAAATGGTCTGACTGAAGAAAATTTCATATGGAACTATTCAAAGGGGTGTGTGTGGAATTAAGGAAACAATAAGGGGTGGCGAGGCAGGGAGGGAGAGGGGAAGAAATCCCCTTGACTTCTCTCTTTCCTGCCCTCTGTTCTTCTGACAGTGCTTCCTATTGGCAGAACCCACTAAAAGCCAAAGAACAGAGGCACCTGGGTGATGCAGTCCATAGATGTCAGCCTCTGGGGCACAATGCAAGGTGGACAGGGCATGGATCAGGGTGAATGGATCAGGAGGGGTAAAGGAAGAATACACAGCCTCCTACCTCCTACCCTCTTGCTAACAGCTTAAGGAGTGGTTCTGGATTGCTTTTCTATGCAGAGATGTCTTTCATGGAATCCAGGTTATTACAACAGGATTCCACGTGCTGTGAAACCCATTTATTAAACTGGTCTGAAAAACCTCAGCATCATGCTGCTGGTTGGGTATTTTGTTATTCCTGTTGCATCTTGATTAGGGCTGTGAGAGAGGGAGAACCTTATGTCCCTCTTCATAGTTCCCTCTGTTCAAGGCCCAGAGGGTACATATGAACATATGAGTTCAATATTTCACAGGGTGGTTTTGCTTGGTATGCAAATTTTTATTATAAAGTGTATTATATGTATGGAGGAGTATTTTAAATACATGTAAAGTTGAAAATATAGTATGTTTAACACCCATGTACTTATCACAAAGATTAATAGAACATTAACCAGTACCTCAAAAGTCTTCCAAATGTCCTTTCCTAAATAAAACCTCCAACCTCGTCCCCAGAAGTAACCATTATCTTGACTTTTGTGCTAATCATTCTCTTGATTTTCTTGATAGGTTAACCACCTAGGTATATTTTTCTAAACAATGTGTATTCCGTAGGAGCATAAATCTAGCAAAAAATGAAAGGGCAATGTTGGAAGGCATCCAGGAGCGAGAGAAGCTAAACAGTCCTTGGGTCAATCTGGTTTCAGTTTCCTCAAGAGTTTACTTACAAGAGCCTCTTCTGGGGAAGTAGGTGGACAAGGTCATGAGTGGGTCTTGGGAAAGCAGAGTTGGATGTCTGGTAGGTCTATAGTGGAGTCCAGGCATTGGGTATCCAAAAGAAATATGGTTCAGAGTGTGGATTCCTCTGGATTTTCTGCTTTACCACAGCCTACTTTCAGCTTCTGAAGTAGATCAAAGCAGGGTACTTCTGTGGGATGAAAAGAACATGCTCAGCTGATCAGAAAATAGGCGATAGTAGGAAAAGCAGCAGCCACATTAGAAATGATTAAGGCAAGTCAGAACATATCGTGGGCTCAGCCAGACTCACCTGGGAATTCTGTTCTTAGATAAAGAAGAAAGAAGAAAGAAGGAAGAAGCAGCAGCAGCAGAAGACTGATAGCAGTGGGAATCTTGATGATGACTGCTCTCAACACATCGTCTAAGGCACTCTGCTATCACCTGGCCTGCTTGTCCCCTAGGCCTGGTAACAGCTATCACTCTGAGACCACCATTTACCATTCTCTTGGGTATTTCTTTTACCCCATCCAGTGTTGGAGCATATGTTTCCTGTACTCGATGTCTTTCTCTTTCTTGGCATACTCTTTTTTTTTTTTTTTTTTTTGTGGAGCATATACTCTAGTAACTCCCTGAGGAAGGGCACATGGGGGGAGAAATCTGTTGAGACTGTACAGGTCTAGAACTGTTTTTCATAGTAGTTGATTTATACTTGGGCTGGATATAGAATTCCAGATGGGGGTTAATTTTTCCATCAGTATTTTGAATTTCTCTGTTGTCTTCTTGTTTCAAGTTTTGCTGTTGAGAAATCTGAAGTCATTCTGATTCTAGATCTAATATATATATAATACACACATATATATATAATACTTCCTGCTGCTGGTAGCTTGTGGAATTTTTTTCTTTGTCTCCAGTGATCTGAAATTTCACAATGATGTATGTGCCTTGTAAGTTTCTTTCTTTCATTCATTAGGTTGGGTACTTGGTGGGTCCTTTCGATCCATTCTGGGAAACTTCTTGAATTATTTCTGTAAGAATTTTCTACTCTTCCCTATTTTCTCTGTTGTCTCTTTTTAGAAATGCCATTATTCTAATGTTGAACATTTATGATGGTCCTCTCTTCTTTTTAATGTTTTCTCTTATTTTCTTTCTATGTCTGTTTGCTCTTTTAGTCGGAAGATGAGAGTGAGATGAAATTTCCTCAATATTATCTTCCTACCCAGTTAGTTTTTCATTTCTCCTATCAAGTTTCTCATTTTCAAGAGCTTTTCAATGTTCCTTGAACATTCTTTAAAAATATATAGCATCCTGGTTCTTGTTTTATGGAAGTTCTTTTATTTCTCAAAGTATATTAATCATAAAATTTGTTTGGGAAATTTTCTTCCCTGCATAGTTTCTGTTTCCTCCAAATTGCTTTTTTCCTCTGTTTTTGATCTCTAGCTCCCATAACACAGGCTTTCCTTAGATGTAAATTTGGCTGTATGCTCATGATAATGAATGGGAAAGTAAAAAACTAATTAGAAGTTCTGAGCAGGGTATGGGGCCTGACAACTTTGAGATTCAAAGTAGGGTGATCTGGCTCAGTTGTTGGTTGGGAGAACACCAAAAAAAGGCATTTACTTTTCAGATAGTTAGATACTCAGGGAATGATCCTCCAGTATCCTGCCATGAGAGTAAGGGGCTAGTTGCTAATATACTGGGAGCCAGGTGTGGAAATAAGATAAACATATAAAGAGTTAGTCCTACTGCAAAGCCCTGTTTCTAATGAAGTCCTCAGGAATGGGAAGTGGGAAGGCACTGTCAGTCCATGCATGCAAAACATGTTGCAACCCTTGTTATACACCAAGCTTGCCCTTGCTGTAGTAGAAAACTGAGCATCTAAGTGATGGGGTAGGGAATAACAAACATTTGCCAAGTGTTTGTTTCTTTTCTTTCATGTAGATTCATGTGCTTGTGCTCATTTAACATCCACAAGAGGCCTGAATTATAGGCATATGGGAAATATTAACAATTTGTCCTTTTTTTTTTCCATTTTGTAGTTGAGTAAACAATGGCCAGTGAAGATTAAATTAACTGACCCAAGGTCAGACAGGTATTGACAAGAGGAGTCACATCCCAGTCCTTTGATTCCAAGGTTCTTTATTTTTATTTTATTTTAAATATTTTTCTGAGTAAAGAAATACATGCTACTATAGGTATCTTAGAAAACATGTAAATTTCCAAATAATTTTAAAAATATATATATATAAGGCCACCACTGTGTAACATTCTTTCACAGGGACATGCTATAATTTATAACAATAAATTTATCATTTCTTTGACTGTCTCCTAATTTGAATCATTTAGGCTGGTAAACCTATGCTCTTTCCATGACATAGCTTTAGCCAAGAGCAGCAGGCACGGACAGGGGTCAGGATCAGGAAAAAATAGGGTCCCAGGCAGGTCCTTAGGTAGAGAGCTGCTTATTAAGGGCAATTTATATGGATACGGTTCAGTACCCTGGAGAGCTCCACATCGTTGCACTCATTGGGGATTTAACATAACAATGGCTGGAGTTCTCTAAGGTTCTGAACTGCACCTCCAGAATAGAATGTTAAAAACAAAACAACAAAACAAACAATACACACACACACACAGCTGGGATTGGGGATCTTTTTGTCCCTGAGGGATTCAACTTTACTCTCCAGTTCAAACAAATTTGTGGGAGTAGGTCATTTTTCTCACCACTAGGCCTGTTTTTCATGCTGTTCCCTTAAGCTGAGAAGGCCTAGTTAATTTCTACTCATCCTTTCATGTTCAATTTATCATTAGTTTCTTCAAAAAGCTTTCTGAGCTCTTTTTGTCTTCTCCCTCAAAATTTTTCCCCTTCCTTCCTCTGCATCCTGATCATTATTTATGGCACACTAGATTACAATTGTCTGTTTGTCCTCCTCATTAGACTTTGAGTTCCTTGAGGGCAGGGACTGAGACTCGGTTATTCTTTAGCCTTAGTAACTACCAATAAATAATATTCAATATTTAATAAATGATGCATTATTTATAGGCAATAGGGAGCTTTTGAAGGTAGTTCTCAACCAGGGGTAATTTCGCCTCCCAAAGGACATTTGGAAATGTCTGGAAATAGTTTTTGTTGTTGCAACTCAGTGGGGTGGTGCTACTCAGTGGGGTAGGTAGAAACCATGGATGCTTCTCAACATCCTACTATGCACAAGACAGCTCCTATAACAAGAATTATCTGTCCCTAAATGTTATTCATGCAGAGGTTGGAAAACCCTGTTTTAGAATAATGATATGGATTTTATCACATTTAAGTCTTCAGAGGGCAGGGAATACATCTGGCTCATTTTACAGATGAGAAGACTGAGCTAGTTGGTTATTGGATCAGGGAAAGAACTTAGACCATGGCACCCTTTCCACACAGTTGCACTGGCTACCATTTTTTTTTAACTATCCACTATTTTAAGTTGTGTAGGAATAGAATAATTTTTTAAAATGCACACTGTCCTGGGTTCATCAAGCAGGTTTGGGGGACAAGGATGAGACTGTTCAGACTGGAGAAAAAAATGTGGAGTCACAGAACAAGCACAGCCAGCCTCATCCCATCCCCCACCCCCCCTACATTGGCCTCTCTTTTCTGGAAAGATATGCCACAAATCTAGGACTGAGTGGGAAGATTTCTCTCAATGGCTCATTTCTGAACAATTCAATCTGCTCTGGGAAATGAGAGATCAGCTTGTGGAAGAGTGAATTATTTTAAGCCACTCTGCATTAGAATCAATTAAAGCTCTAGAGGGCCCAGGCTGCCACAGGAGAATTCACTCTGATTGCCATAGACCAAGGGGATCCAGTATAACTTTCCTCCTATCAACATCTCCAAGGGAAGCTCTGAACCAAATTTGATGGTTATCTCTCTCTTCAAGTGCCTCAGATTTAGAATGCTCCTGATCCCAAAGAGTGCCCCACACATACTTCTCATGAGCCAAACCTGCCATTTTCCCAGCAGTAATCAGAGGCCTGGGCTTCTCCCATTTGGCTCTGTTGACTTAAAAAAGCCAAATGATTCAGGCACAATACACAGTGAATCAGCAAAGGAAGGAAATGTGGAAAAAAGAATCTGTGTGGCATCTTGAATAAAAGTGCCTTCCAATAAATTTGGTGAATTGTCTTCAAGGGAATCAGCTGAATGTGTTAATCACTTATTGTATATCATAACTGTCTGGTGCATATGTGATTAGCTGGAAATGATATTTGTGGGTCTACTGAGGCTCTGAAATGATGCACAGGGAAAGCTAGATTCTGTAGAAGGAGCTCAACTTTCTTTGCCAAAGTTTGCCTTGGAGCATAAAAAACCTTTCCTGTATTGGCTGCTACTGGCATGAGAATGTGAAGGTGCTATGGGGGGTGGGATGGGGACAGAAAAAGATAATAAGCATCAGGTCCCGACAAGGAAATGCTATCTCACCACCTCCATTCCTTGTTCTCTTCCTCATCCCTGCCCCCACACAGCACCCCCTCCCCCTGCCACACACACACACACACACACACACACACACACACACACACACATTGGGGAGAAGTAGTTTATTCACTCAGAATTTGGACTCAAATGATCTGAGTTTGAATTCCAGTTCTGTTCCTTTTCGGAGCCTGAGTCTTCACATATAAATTTGAACTAATCTTTTTTTTAAGAAAAGATTTTATCTATTTTAGAGAGAGAGAGACCACAAGTGGAGGGGGGTGGCAGAGGGAAAGGGAGAAGCAGACACCTCGCTGAGGAGGGAGCCTGGTGCAGGGCTCCATCCCAGGACCCTTCTGGAGATCATGACCTGAGTCAAGGCAGATGCCCGACAGACTGAGCCACCCAGGCACCCCTGGACTAATAATCTTAATATCCCCAGCTTGTCAAGGAAGTTTACATGAGATGATGTATATAAAGCACACGACTCATGAAGGCACTAAATAAATGTTCTATTATCACTATTGAGTTCAGTCTCTGTCTGGGTAATTTTCTAAAGACAGAAAGTTTGGTCCAGAGGACTAATGAGATGAGAATCATGGATATGGATGATCAAATCTAAGAAAAAGAAAACTCTATCAGGGGTCCACTTGAATTTTTGAGGTCTAATGATTTTCCAAACCCCCTTACAATGTGTAAAATGGTTGGGTTGGGAGTTAACCGAAATTTTGAATTGCTCAGCTCTGTATTTAAGTTTCTAGAGAATGGATTTGTCATTGAGCAGGCTTGGAGAAAGTCTAAAACTTTTAGGACATTGCAACAACCTGGGGCTTACTTAGAGTTCAAAGAGAGTATCAAACAAGAATTACCTTGCCAAAGGTCCAAAGAGAGAAAAATGTCACCATGAAAGGAAACAGAGCTCAATTGGTGAATCTGCACTTAAATACAGGGTGGCTCTAAGTCTCCTACATGCAAGGGTGCTCAAACCTAACTGTTCATCAGAATCACTCAAAGAATTTTATAAAAATATATAGACCCCAGAGCCCCACCCTAGAGATTCAAGGGCCATTGAAAGGCTCAGGATCCTGGGTTTTTTTGTGGGTTTTTTTGTTTGGTTTTTGTTTTTGCTTTTTGTTGTTGTTGTTAAAGTGCCAAGGTGATTAGGATTATCAGTCAGGTCTGGAAATAGCTCAGAGGTCGAGGTCAGGTCCTGGGCTCCTGCTTTAGAAGTGATTCACTGAGTATTAGCTTCTCCTCTCCATTTCCCTTTGTAAAGATCTGACCCACGTCTCTCCAAAATAATGTGAGAAAGATTCAGGAGAGGCACTTGGAGCTGATTCTCACTTCAGAGGCCGTAATTTTGGAGTATGTGCTTGAGAGATGACACTATCTGACAATGAAGGTCACTGACATCATCAGATGTGTTTTGGACACTCAAGTTGTGCATAATGAGACCCAACCTTCATGATCTCCTCTCCTTCCACTCCCACCAGGCACTCAAAGTGTCTCCTAATATACCTTGAAATTTTCTAACATTCTTCACATCTTCCTCCCCAATCTGCAATGAGCTCAATTTCACTAATAGAGGCAATATGACCTAGTGGTTAAGAGGCTGGCTTTGGAATTAAGGCAGGCCAGAATTCTGGTGTGGTAGTGAGCTACCTGCACCACCATACTGGTCAATACTCTAGGGATGCCAGAGCAACAAAACAGAAGAAGCCTGGGTCACTGTCCAGTGGTACTCTCAAGTGATGCCTAGAAGGAAAACATAAATTTCTATCTTGTTCAAGCTACTCTTATTTTTGGTCTTTACTCAAAAATCTTAAACTATATCCTACTAACTAGTAAACCAACCACTTTAATACAGGTGCTATTAGCTATAAAGGCTGCTATAGAGGATGCAGCTGGTGCTAGGAGAACATATCTGAGGGAACCAAACCCCAGCTGGGGAATGAGGCCCAGGACAATTTCTAGAGAAGGAAATGTTTAAGTCGAGTATGTAAGATGATGGCACTTGATAGGTGAAGAAGGGAGGACAGGGTGCCCCAGATAAAAAGGAAAAGTGTGGGCAAAGATTTTGAGGCAGGATATATTGAGTGTAGGATGCTTGAGAAATTATAAATTAGCACAGCTAAAAAGTAGGGTTTCGATGGGCAGTGAGGAGTAAGGAGGCTCGAGTTTGGGAGTGGATTTTGTGTGAAGGAAGAAAAGAGGGTGTGGTGGCATGATGAAAACTCTAATCAGAGAAAGCCAATAATAAGTGCTCTACAGTTTCCCCTATTAGTAGCTTCCTAATGGAAATCCCAGGTTCACTGAGGGGCTCAGTCTGGTGTCCTTGCCAGGGGGATTGCTTGTGAGGCGGACAGGAATCCCCAGTGGCTGCTACAAACAGACTGTGGGAGGCTGGCTGATTGACAGGCCTATCAATACCACCTCAACCAACCTCGAAGTGAGATCAATGGTTGAGTAAATTTAACCCAAGCCTATTAAGGGAGAAAGAGGTTTATTTTAGTTCAAACAAGTTCTGGAGAGTGAAAGGAGTCTGGGAAGAAGGCAGAAACAGACGCCATATGTCAGTTTTTTGACATGGAAACAATTTGAATTCAATCACCTCAGGTGAATAGTCTCCTCAGTCTAAACACCTTCCAACATCCCAATTCTCTACATGCATTCCAATTTGTCTGGCTTAGAAAGATGTTATTTTCTTCCCTGTTTCTTCCCAGGCCTTTGGTTACCCACTGAGTATGGACCATGCTGGTTTCCTACTCTCTTAGCTGTCCATGTTGACTAAGCATCTACAATGATCCAGGTACTGCCAGGCACCCCCTATCAGCTCAGCTCAACCTGATATTCTCCTGTGAGGTATTATCCCTCCATTTATAGATAAAGAAATAGAGGGACAATTCCCTTGCCTAAGGCAAAATAAAAATTAGAAGCTAGGGGTTTTTGTTTGTTTGACTTTTACAGCTCAACGGATTATCACAGTGATTACTCAGGGAATCACCACTTAAGTCAAGAGAGAATTTTGTCAACATTCCTCCCCCCTCAAATCACTACCTCCTCCCTCCCCACCTCTCTGAGGCCTCTTCTGGTTCCAAACTTCTGTTTTCTCTCCCCATTCCATGCCACCTCTCTGAACCTCTCTCTTTATAGTAAAGGAAATGGAGCAATAAAGAGGATAAGGACTTTCCTAGGATTGTAGAGATGTCAGAGCTGAGACTTGAACCCACGTGTTCAAAGTCCTCTATACCTTGGTTGATTTCCTCCTCTTAGCTTACTTAAGTCCTTTCTATCTTTTGAGGCCAATCAAATGCCATCCTCCTCCATGGAGCCTTTTAGACCACCCTGGTTTCACTGATCTTTTCCTCTGCCTGATAAGTTCCTGTCTGTCTGTTCCACTGACAGAACCACTTAGCAAATAGTGTCAGGCATTATTTAGCATTTCACATTCTTGTTTCATCTTCCCAGTGAGTCTGTAAGTTTTTTGAAGGCCGGGGATCACAATTCATACCTGTTTGTGTTCATAGATCCTTGAAAGTGGTCTGCACAGAGAAGAAGGCAGAATAAGTGGATTCCTGGGCTCTGGAGTCAGACTCAGGTTCAAACCCTGGCCCTGCTAGTTGCTTGCTGTGTGATATCAAATTACTTAATCTCTGTCCAAGTGCATTCCTGAAGGGTCCTTGAGGAAATTAAAGCACATTATAATTTGCAGGGTCTAGCACAGTGCCTGGCACACATGAATCATTCCACAAAGATCAACTATTATTGGAGCCCAACAAGGGTCCGTTGTTGATAGTGGATTACTCAACTGGTTCTCAAGGTTAAAAATTTTTTTTTGTTGGTTTAGGGAAAAATTCAGATAGAAAATCTTTCCATGGGATACAAGCCTAAAAAAATAACACGCAAGTTGGAAGGAGGCCGAATGTTGCGTAAGAATTGCCTTACTTCCCCTCCATCATGTCCACCTTACCACAGGAACAATAATGGCTCCCCAGTGTGCAGGGCACTGAAATGACTAACAGCTGAGCAGGCGACAACCACGCAGAGTCAGGCGCCCTGGCGGTGTTCCTGCTGCTTAGTCACGCAGAAGGGACCAGATTTCCCTCCAAGCCTTAGCAGCAGCTAATGCTATTAGGATGAAAGATGGGTCCATTTGGGCCCCAAACCCCTGTGTTCAGGCAAGACTCTGGAAGGTCAACGGCTAGAGAGAAATGCAGGAGTTTCCAAGGAAGAGGCTTAGCAGCCAATTTTGTCAAGAATCAGGAAATACACCACTCTGGGCGCATGAGTATATATTTTAGCAAAACAGCCCATTTCTTCAAAGGATTTTAAAGGTCAAAAGCTTGCCTTCCTCCCGACTTTATCCCCATACATAACCAGGGAGGAACAAACTTACCTGAAACACAATGCCTACTGTGTTATGCTTTATGTGCATCCTCAAATTGCAAAGAGGTTCTTCTCCAAATACTTTCAGATCATTTTAAGGAGAGTCTGGGGATGGGATTTACGTATAGATGATCTTTGCTATAATTCTGTCGGCTTTGTCTGATCATCTGTCCTACAAGCCATGGGAGGCATTTCTCTGAGCATCATAGCTAAGCACAATAGGACTCAAAACAGAACCATGCCAGGCAAGTCAGGTGGGCGGGGAACTGTCACAACCTGAGATCTTGGGAGGGAAAGGGAGTTAAAGACCTGCCGAAAAGGGTAATGAGGAAGCTTCAGATAATGGGATTAGGCAGAACTGACTCGGAAAAACCTGCAGAGATTCCTGGGCTCTTTTGCAACACAAGATCCCCATAAATTGGGTAGGGGACACAAAAAGGCAAAACTCAAACCAGCAGTAGCTGTCAGGCAAAAGCAGTTGTGACCACCAAGCCAAGAACAGGTGGGGGGGCGGGGGCGGTCAAGGGGTGATCTGGCAACACTTTCCAATGTAAATGCAAAAGGTAGTGCTATCAAAAAAAAGAAATTTCCCCAGAAATATTTGTTGTCTACAGCAATGCCCAGGAATATATAACCTCATCAGCTTGCCTTTGCAGGCCTCAGTTTCCCCATATTGGAATATAAAGAAGTCATACTACTTTCCCAACCTGAGTCAGTGACCCTCCTCTGCTCCCTCAGATCTTCATGTGTAATTGTCTTTTAATGAGTCTCAACTAGACCTTAAACTCCTCAGGGCTGGGACTATATTTTAGGCCTCTCTGCATCCTCAAAGCCTGGCACAGGGCCTGGCCTATAACAAGGTTTCAGTCAACACTTGCTGACTGAATGGTGTCTGAAGTCCTTGGAGGACTGAATCATAGAATGACTGGATCCTGTCATCCACGGGGCTCAACATAATGTGTGGGCCCACTCGTCTTCCCAGAAGCTGGCCCAGGCTGCTTCACTTGAGGCACTGGTGGCCTCCCCCTCCTCTTCCTTTCTCTTTTTTATTCCCATCTCCAAATATCATTCTGCTTATACTGTGCCAGTCTAAAAGCCCTGTTTTGCTTGCTTCAAACTTGAAGACAGAGGTCTAGTAAATCTGAACTACCAACTAGACCACTGGTTGACTTCCCTTTCTGCCTCGCTTAGGTCTTGCATGGATCTTGCCTTAGACTCTCTTGGAAGAAGATCCTGAGATAATGATTTGAATGGAAGAAGTTTACCAGGGAAGTGAGTCCCAGGAGCACAGACAGTGGAGCAGAGAAGTAAGACAGGAAAGGGAAGAAAAGTGATATAGGATGCTTTAACGAGCAGGTACTGCTATGGGCAACTGAGGCTTGCTCCTCCTGATGATCCCTGGGAGACTCTGTGGAACACACCTCAGAGTCATCCCGAATGAGTGGTCAGGGATCTGGGGTATTTATCCACCAACTCCTACCCACACCTGGTTGGAGGCTATTTGAGGGACGGGAGGAATAAGCCCCCTCTGCTGCTAGTCTGCCTCATGCACTAGTTGAACACACTTGAGCAGCCAGAGAAAGCCACCAGGTGCTTACAGAAACAAGCCATCAGCAGGTGCAGCCATAGTGAGATCTGAGGGGATGGGGCAGTGGTGCCATCACCTTCTATGACATATTCTTAGCCCGATGCCCCAAAGTCTTCCATTCTCTCCTCCCGGTTTGCTCTACTTGCATTAACAGGAAGTTTTCCAGTTGGAAGAGATTTGGTCATCATCTGGGCTAACCAAATCTCTCCTCAGTTCAGAAAGCCCCTCGACAACATTCCTGAAAGGTGGCTGGCCAGCTTCTGATTGAATACTGCTAGTATCAGGGAACTCACCGCTCTGAGGCAGCCCACGCTGTTGCTGAAATAATAGAGTTGCTGAAAAATCCTTTTTTTTTTTTTTAAGTTTCCACATATATTACCTTGTAATTTCTGACTGTTGGCCTTAATTCTGCCTTTTAGAGCCCACAGAATGATTCTCCTCCCCCACTTACAGTAGCCCTTTTAATAGCTTCTAAAAATAACTGGTGTATTTTCACTATGACTCCTCTCCTCTGGCCCAAATCATCCACTATCTTTACCACTCTTGCCACAATATGTTTTCTAGACTAGTCATTCTCAACCTGGGGCAAATTTGCCTCCCAGGGTACCTGCGACACTGTCTGGAAACATTTTTGGCTGTTACAACTAGCAGGGCCTGCTACTGGCAACAATGGGTTGTGGCCTAGCATGTTGCTAAGAATCCTACAAGACATGTAAATGCAAGTTTACATTGGTGGCTCAAGTTACATTGGCGTCTGGGTGGCTCAGTCAGTTAAGTGTCCGACTCTTGATTTCAGCTCAGGTCATGATCTGATCTCAGGGTTGTGAGATCAGGCCCCGCATCAGGCACCGTGCAGAGTTTGCTTGAGATTCTCTCCCTTCTCCTCACTCTCTGTGCCTACCCCCACTCTCTCTCTGCCCCTCCCCCACTTTATTTATAAGTAAATAAAATCTCAAAAAAAAAAAAAGAATCCAACAAAGGCACAGGACAGCCCCCACAACAAAGAATTATCTGGCCCAAAAGGTCTGAAGTACCAAGGCTGAGAAACTCTGTTCTAGAAAATATTATCCAGGTCACTCTCCTCTGCACATGTTATGGCTTATCATAAAAGCATAGTGCTCAGAACTGGACATGCAGTACCTACAGGGATAGGACCAAAAAGAGCATGGAACACAGGGGATCCTCTCTCATTATGACAACCAGACAGACCGTAGCAGCTGAAGCACCCACAGCATACGCCCCCTCCCCTCCAGTCTGTGGTCAGGGAAAAGCTCTGATTCCTATTGAAACAAACTGCTCTCAGGGCCAATGACTAAGACACGAAGATATAAAAACATAAATGCAAATCTAGAAGGAGGCAGAGTTCGCTCCTAGCATCTCCACAATCCTTTCATCATGATAAACTGAATCAAATTCATTTCAGTTTATTTTTTTTTACCCTACAGACATAATTATAGATCTTCTCTACTACATTTTTATCACCTGAAAATGATAAATTGGCTTTTAAAGTTTTCATCCAGGCTACTCCCCAAAACATCAGATAGCACAGACTAATGTTGAGCCATTTCTTAACACTTTTTGGGTAAGACTGTGTTGACCAGCTATGACTCCACTTAACTGTAGCTTACATTTATTTATCTGATTAAGAAAACATCAGGTCCAGATGCTTTCATTACTAAGTCCTATCAAACATTCAAGAAACAGTTAATTCCTATTTTATTCAAGCTCTTCTAGAAGGGGGGGGGCGCGAAGATGGAGGCACACTTCTGCTTATTTCATAAAGCTAGTATAATCCTAAAACCAGAACCTTTCAAGTATAGTGCATGAAAAGAAAATTACAGGAAAAAAAACTCATTAACGAACATAGATGCAAAAGTCCCTAAAAAAAAATTCACTAAGCTGAATCCAGCTTTGAATTTTCTTTTCTTTTTTTTTTTTTTTGAATTTTCTATTTTATAAAGTGACTGAATTGGGGTTATTCCAGGAATGTAGGATGTTTTAACAGTAATCTATTAATGTAACTCACTACATTAATAGATTGAAGAGGTAGGACAGAGTCAGGAATGGACCACAAGCACACAGAGAAATCTTTTTCTTGAGTAGCTTTTCCTGTATAACAAAACCCACAAAATTTCTGTGACATAAAATACGCATTTGTTTTTTATACGTCTTGGGGTACGCTAGGGTCAGCTATTTGAGGCTGGGCTCAGCTGGGCACCTCAGCTTTAATGGCAGGTCTGTGGGTCAGCTGCGTGACTATATCCACATGATTCATTATTCTTAGGCTGGCTAGCTGATGCAAGCTCATCTCATGGCAGGGTGGAGTACTGAGAGGGTGTACTCAACAGGACAAAGACGCTTCAAGCCCCTGCTTGCATAATGTCTGCCATTATCCTATTGGCCAAAGCAAACTGCAAGGCTGAGTTCAAAGTCAAGGGATGGGAAAGTATACTCTGCTTTCTATGGCACAGATACAAGGAGTGGAGAATTGAGGCCAAGGATTTAAAATATCACAGGGCCTGTGAATATTTTATTACTTTTAACTTACAAATATGATATATACGTATACATATACAAATTCACCCCAGGTTTGTATATGTATATACCTGTGTGTGTGTCTGTGTGTATATATATATGAACTTGGTATGTACTAACTATTTCATAATAAATGTTAAATTCACACATTAAGTACATTTTGGGACCTTTCTTATTTACTAGCCTCATAATCTTATCCAAAAGGGAAATAGAGTTCAGCAATTATTCTTCATCTCTTTCATTTTTACTTTTTTTCATTCTTTCAACCTCTTCCAGAAAGGATTTAAAGAGGTTTACAAAGCACTGAGACAAAATAAATGTATAATAAATCAGAAAACAAAGCAAAGGGAAAATAAGGTTAACAAAGCAAGATGGGGCTGGAATGGCATTAGTGTTTGGCTGGATAGTCTCCATTTCCTCCTCCTGATCCTCTCTCTCTCCTTCCCTACCTGGTCTGTCTCCTTAAAGGGCTCCCCTGTCTTGGGCTTTTCCTATACTACAGGTCCCACAGGGTCTGATGACCACTGTGTCCTCTTGCTGCTGGAGGCCTAGAGGCTGGTAACGCTGCCTATGAACCCTCCCGGACTGGCTCCCTCCATCCTGCCACACCTTTGTAATAACTCCTTCGTGAAACTCTCCTTACTTACCCTGTTTGAAAGTGTCATTTTTCCTGCCAGGGACCCTGATTAAAAGAGCCCACAGATCACATGCCTTAAGTGTACATACACACTAGAAGTAGACCATAAATACAGCTCTCAGGTCTTAGTGTGATTATCAAGTGGGAAACACAATCAATAAAAGAACTTCCAGTCTCTTGAGAGAAGCAGACCTACTCCTGACACCAAGATAGGCAAGAAATTTTCCCTGTGGTTTCTCTAGAAGAGCATTGTGGTATGATGATCCCATTCTTTTCTGTCTTACAAACCATCTCTATTCAGGGCTCAGTCCTCAAATATCCTCCCTCCTTATCCACACTCACCTTCTAATTAATCACATCTAGTTTTATGGTTTTAAATATCATACACATGCTGACGATTCCCAATATGCATCTCCAGTACTGCCTTCTTCCTGAACTCATTTTCACCATCCAGTTGCCTACACTATATATCTAAGACGCATCTCAGACTCTTGGCATGTCCAAAACAAAACTCTCCATGTTCATTCCATACTCTGCTCTTCCTAGTCTTCCCTCATTTAAGTAGAGGGCCACAGCATCTTTCACTTGGTTACTCAGGGTGTGTGTCTGAGGGGGAGAGAGTATAGCAGAAATCTACCATGCTCCATTCCTTTTTTGCACATTCCACATCCAATCCATCCACACATCAGGTGGCTCAGATCTTCAAAATATATTCGAAATCTGACCACCCCCATCACCACTACTCTAGCTCAAACAGTCAGCCTCTCTTGTCCTAGTGCCCCTAACTGCTTTTCCCCCTACTCTTGCACTCTTCCGGGGCCCCAGCTGAAGCCAGCCAGTGTGATCCTTTAAAAATATGTCATATTCTGTTGTCTCCTATTCAAAAGCTTCCAAGCACTCTCAGAATGCAATATAAAGTCTTCACCATGGCCTAGAAGGCTTTACATCTGGATATCCGTGAATCTTTATTTTCTTCAATTCTCTCCCTCCCTCCCTCTGCTCACTCGCTGTTTCTTACTACTGAAACATTCCTTTCCAGATACCTACATGCCTCACTCATTTCATTTAGGTCTCTGGGGAAATGGCAACTCCTCAGAGAAGTCTTCCCTGGTCATTAGCTCTAAATAGTCCCACCATCCCTAGTCCTTTATTTTTCTTCACAGCACTAATCAGTACCTGACATTACATTAAATATAAATATGTAGTTATGCATTTGTCTACTTAGAATGTAAGCGCAAATAAAATGGGTTATTTCATTCACTCCAGCATCTCTAGTGCCAGGTACAATACTTGACATACAGCAGGGTCTTGATAAATATCTGTTAAATGAATGCAAGACTCCATTCTACTTTACCTAGTTTCCTGACTCCAACTCAGCAAGATCCAAGAGATATTTGAGTCTCAATTATGTGAGTGGCACTTAGCTAGATGCTTAGAGCTTTAAAAATCTAACAGGCACCTGAATTGTGACCTTTTGGGTGAGTAGTGATTAGGAGAGGGCACAAGGGAGCCCTCAGGGCACCAGAAACGTTCTTTTTCTAGGTAGTACTTAGATAGGTGTATTCATAATTACAAACCTATTGAGCGATACACTTAAGATTTGTGTATTTTAAGTTGCACCCCAATAAAAGTTTGTTTTTTGTTTTTTTTAGTTTCTGACCCATCTAGACACACGGAGAAGTAGTTTGCATTGTGGCAAAAGCAATGATAGAGGGTCTGCATGGCCTGCTGCTAAGCAAGCGGTGACGGTCACCCTTCAAGCGCTAAGGTCGCGGGCTTGTTAAAAGGAAAAGGGGAGACTGTATCCTGTGTTCCTTCTGACCCAGAACCTCCCAGAGATGACGGGCCTTCCTTAATGCCCTGAGACCCTCTGAAACTGGAGAGCAGTACTAGTGCCTAACAGCTAAAGGCATGCTCCACCTGACGGGGAGCGGACCCCTGAAGGGAGGTGGAGCTCTGAAGAACTTTCCTCGGAAGAGCCCCCTAGCGAGAGGGGAACGATGTAAGTCTTATGTTCTAGATTTTTTAAAAATTTTTATTTGTTCATGTAATCTCTACACGCAACAGCAGCTTGAACTCACTAGCCCGAAATCAAGAGTCCTTATGTTCTACCGACTGGGCCAGCCAGATGCTCCTATGCTTTCAACTCTTAACCATTTCGCCACTTTTCGGTGACACTAAAGTGTCACTACGGCCTGACACTACGGCCTCGCGCACTTACAAGGGACTATTGGCTGGATACTCCGCCCAACGAACGTCACAGTCCCCGCGCTCGCCGGCCCGGCCGCCAGCACGCAGGCGCGGCACAGAGCCGTCGCTACGCAGGCGCAGTGCGGCCGAGCACCGGCTACAGCGGAGGGCAGGGCCCGGCGGGCGGGTGCGCGCTCCCGGCGGGAGGGAAGCGAGGCGCGCGTCATGGAACAGCGGTTAGCCGAGTTCCGGGCGGCCAGGAAACGGGCCGGGCCGGCTGCCGGACCTAACACTTCGAGCCCGAGTGCACAAACCTCAGGAGAGAAGGCGCAAGCAGCTGCGACTCCAAAGGCAGCACCAGGCTGGCTAAAACGGTTCCAGGTGTGGAAACCGAGGCCCGCGAGTACCCGGGCCCAGCCCAGCCTCGCTCAGGTGAGAGGGAGGCCTCGCCCCCGGGACCTGGCTTCGGGGACGCTGTCGTGGCCTCCCCGGAAACTGTGGCCGAGGCCACGCCCACCGCCCGCCCACCGCGTGGTGGCCTACAGGCCACGCCCCCGTCGAGGAGCGGGACCCGCCCCGTCCTCTGGTTCCCGCCTCCGCTGGCCGAGCTGGGCTGCTGGCGCCTACCCGCCGCTCAGGGGCTGGGCCGGGCGTCCCCGGCCACTCGTGTCAGCACTGATCCGGGGCTTTGACATTTTCTTTTCAGCCCGCGACCCACGCAGCTCCCGATTCCAGTTGGGAAGCGAGGGTCTAGGGCCCTGGAAGAAAGCACCGCTGCCCTTGAGTTACTGTGATGCCTTCTGGCTTCGGGAAACGTCTCCACAACCGCTTTCAGCCTCAACCCTCCGCTAATGGAGGGTGAAAGGTCTAACTGGATACTGCTAAAAAGCGGCAGTAATTAAGGCTTCCTTTGATTTCCCACCTGGGTCACATGCAGCCAATAGCCCGAATAGCCTGTGCTTTAGAAATGGCATTTGAACAAAACTTGCAAAAGTGTGGTCGCTCTAACTGCCAGCGGTGGCCATTCTTGTGCACCGCTCTTGAACTAGGGAAACTTACTCAAGTTCAATAGTGAATGTTCAGGTGAAAACATTATTTAGATGAGTATTACAGACTTTCCCCCCTTTAATTCTTGGTATTCTCTTATTTTGCAGATGAACTTGATTCACATCTTGTATTTTCATTTAGTTTTCACTCAGGAGTAGAGTGGCAAGGTGCCTTGCAGGTGTGAGATTAGATGATCTATGTTGGAATACAGGACACAACATCAAGGGAAATTCGGTGCCTTGAGACAATGTGTGACAAAGTCTTTTGTATCTCAAAAATGTAATAAGAGCCAAAAATTCCTTTTGAAAATGAAAATGTATTGGAGCAGAAGTGTACCTTACTCCTCTTAAAATTATTTCTCTTAGTTTATTACTGCATGACTTCTGGTTTTAGGCAATTTTTTAAACCAAGGAGAACTCATTGTTACTCAGTTTTGATTGGATATTATTCTCCGTGACACGCAGGGCTCTATCAGACTTACAGAAAGCGAGTGCAGCAGGGTTCAAACAATCCATTTCCTTGCATGCATTTTGTCTCGGAATAACTTTTATTGTTGATTAGAACTCACTGAGCACAATTGCTTAAGATTTTAGAATCTACTTCCCTTACCCTTTTTCCTCTCTGCAGTTAAAAATCAAAGTCTAACCCACACAATGAGTATTTGCCTGTATGTCTCATTTCTAAAGGAATATGAGATCATTGAATTGAACCTAGAGAACCTGAACTTGGAGAAAGTTTCCATTATTAAAAGCCCAAAAGCTGATATCCTGACAAAAGGATGACAGGAAATGCTGGACCCACAGTTGGTTCTTATTAATTACTCTGTTTTTCATAAGGTACTCTATCTTAAGCTCATTTTCATTGACTCTGTTATCATTCCTGGCTTTGCTCTGGTGTGAAAATTCTCATTAAATTGTCTTTTCCTCCCAATTTACAATCCATCTCTCTTAATAATTTTGCTGACACATGGTGGCTTGTCAGAAATTTCTTTAGCCTTCTGTTTGTAATTGCTTCTTGGTTGTCATTGATAAGGAAGCATCCATATCCTCCTTCCCCCACTCTCCAATTTAGCTTGAGGAAAACAGTCCCCAAGATAAAATATTTCTTTCTGTGACAAGCTTCTGCCAAATGAAGACCAGAATGCTTGTGACTTTTTCAGTCCTGCAAAAACCCCCTGTCTCCCTCCCCAGGCATATCCCACACAAGCCCCCAGTGCACCATCTAGCCCCAAGGTGCCCACACATCCTATGACTCCTCACCCCAACCCTTGGCTCAGGTTGACCCACTGCTCAAATGCTCTCCTTCTTTGAAGTCACCTGGTGAAGCATAGCCTTTGCATCACTCTCTCAAACCTAGGAATCATCTTTTAATTTCTTCCTTTCCCTCACCATCATTCATTTATTCAGCAAAATTATATCATGTGCCTACTCTGTTCCAGCTCCTATCCTGAATCTGGGGAAACAGGGTGATAAGAGCAGATGAAGCCCTGTTCTCACAGAACTTGCATTTGCGTACGGGGCAACAGACAAGAAACAGAAGAGAGGAATAACGAATGCCATGAAAGGGGGAAAGAAACAGGATACTGTACTAGTGAATTGGGGGAGACAGGTGCAGAGTGTTACTGTAAATGAGGTGGGCAGGGAGGACCTCACTGAGGAGATGGCATTTCATAATTAGGAGCCACTCTTGGAGAAACCTGGGACAAGGCGAAGGGCACATATGGTAACATTTTTGCTGAGGTTTGTAGAAGAGAGTGAGCCAGCCAGGTGATGTGAGGGGAAGGGGGCATTCCTCTCAAAAAGAACCATAGGTGCAAAGGCCCTGAGGGGGGAAGGAGCTTGGTATTTGAGAACTGGAAGTACTTTCCCTAAACTATGCCTCTGTGATGACCACAAACACTACCATACACAGCTTTTATAACAGAAGCCACACTGATACTAAAGCAAATGCCAAATAAGGTAAAGGAATTTCTCTCTCCTCTTGTTTATTCCCTTTGCCACTTGGTTTGCCCCCCTCCCCATCTCCTTCCAGATCTCTAACCCTTCCCCTTACCATCTCCCATAAAGGCCCCTAATAAAGTACAAAGGGCTGTGGAGGGAGACCATCCTAGGATCCTGGTGACACCAACCTCATCTCTGCCTGTCTCTCGCTGTGTGACGTTCGGGGAGTTACTTAATTAACATCTCAGTGTTTCCGTATCAGTAAGTTGGGATTAATAGTGCCGGTCTCCTGGATTACAGGAGATCAGACATCTTGAAGGCACTCAGTAAGTGGTGGCCATAAGCATTATTCTTTTTTATACTCCCTCAATAATAAATTCAGTCTACTGTGAATTGCAAGTTGTACACATTCAAAATGTATTCCGTATCCCTCAGTCCATCATTTCTCTCTGACTTGTATGTCACCACCCCCATTACGCCCAGTCCTCCTCTCTTACTGGGCCTCCTGCATGAGCTACTCATAATTTCCCTGCTTCTACTCTTGTAGTCCATTCTCTACCTGGCAGCCAGAGTAGTCTTAAATATAAATCAGATTATATTAGTTCCCTGCTGAGACTTTCAGTAATTTCCCTATTGTGCACACTGGTCAAATCCGAAAGGGACATTTATTTACTTAACAAATGTGTGTGTGTGTGTCAGGAGGGGGTGTGTTGCTGATAGCATGGTAAGGGCTTTTCCAATTTAACTGAAAAGGTAATAATTACAACACTGACACTAAAAAAGGTTCTAACAAAATAGAATATCTGAAGCAACGTAAATCGGATGACCTATGTTTTTTATCAAGACCAAATAATGTTTGTGGTCCCTTCTTAAATAATCGCAGGGAGAATGGGGGATATAATTGAAGAAATGAACCAAAAGTAATGCTCTGCATTGAGAACCTATGTGTGGGGTGCGGTGTTTGGCTCTGGAGACATCAAAAGATAATAAATGGTAGTCCGTTGGCCTCCTGGTAACAATCTAGGGACACATGTGACCTGTATTAAAAGAAAAACACTTAACTGGCAAGTAGTTTGGTGCTCAGTGAAAAAGATGGGCAATTAGTCCTCTGGGAGACAGAGGGGGCACCCTTCCTTAATGGCCAAAGAGGTCAAGCATACATAGTTCACCAGTCATGCCTGTCCCAGGCTACAGGTGGGCAATGTCTTTGGGTGTTAAGACCTGTTGAACTGGAGTAGAGGTTCATTGATAGAGCAATGGATTGTGGATTGTGTTGTACAGGGAATTTTTTAGACCATTGTTTTTCAGACTACAAATCATGACCCGTTAGTGGGTGGTGAAATCAATTTAGAGGATCTAGTCCTCTGTTAAAGATAAATTTTTAAAAATGGAATAGAAAATGAGAATTTTGTATGTGGTGAAGAATATTTGTTGGTTTGTGAAGCTTTTTCTATTTTTTGTATGTATATACGCTGGGTCCCAGTACAAAATGTATTTCTTATTATGGGCCATAACCAAAAAAGTTGGGAAAATGTCAGACTAGAGATCATGCCTCCCTAAAGCTACCTAAATATCTGTGTCTCCCATTAGCACCCAACACAGGGACCCGTGTACTGGCATTTCTTTCTGTTGAATAAATGGAAAGCCTTGCTTGGATTCCAGCCCAAAGAGTTTAAATTTTAACTTGCAGGCAGTAAAATTTGTTGAAGGTTTGTGAACAGGAGGTTGGTGGGTGTTTTAGGAAATTCACTTAGAAGCTTTACATAGGATGGTTTGCAGAGGAAAGAGATAGGAGGGAGGGAGTCCCGTTAGAGACACTGCCTGGGCCCCGGGGGTGTGTAGGATGGTCCTGGGATGGAAAGGTTATGGCTATACTGAGGATTTGTTTTTATTTTTATTTTTTTAAAGAGTTTATTTATTTATTTGTCAGAGGAAGAGAGAGCACAAGCAGGGGGAGTGGCAGGCAGAGGGAGAAGTAGGCTCCCCTCTGAGCAAGGAGCCCAATACGGGGCTCGATCCCAGGACCCTGGGATCATGACCTGAGCAGATGCTTAACCGACTGAGCCACCCAGGCATCCCTGATGATTTGTTTTTAATAAGTGGAAGGGAGTTTTGTTTCTTGTTTCTGGTATTGTCCTCATTTTAGAATTATGTCACTCACAAAACTGTAGCTCATCTAATCAAATCAATAAACATATTGATTCTGTGTATGAAGCATTAGGTGTGGTTGTTGCATTATCAATAACGGGAGTTTCTGTATGGGGCACAAATTAGCTCTTGTTAGCAGCAGACTAATCTGAGGAAGTGACTCCCGCGAATGGGAATCCATCTGAATGCTGTAAGGTTTTTATCAGGTCACATCTCACTAAGTGCAGACCAGTTTTGATTCAGTCCGAGCAGGGCATGTGAGCTCTTTGGAGATGATTGTTTTAGAGAGCAGGGCAAGAAAATAGAAATCAATGAGCCAGAAGCCTTCTCAGAGCAATGAGAGCTGTCTCTCCAGATTGGTTTGATCCTCTGAGCCCCAGTGCCTTTTATTCTTACTTTTGTTTGTTTGTGTGTCCTAGGAAGCGGCTCAGCCTGGGAGCAGCACGTCACAGCCACCACGGAACACAGCCATTCCTCTGCCATCGCCACGGGACCAGTCTTTCCTGACCAACATCACCTTCTTGAAGGTTCTTCTCTGGTTGGTCCTGCTGGGACTGTTTGTGGAACTGGAATTTGGCCTGGCCTATTTTGTCCTGTCCTTGTTCTACTGGATGTATGTCGGGACACGAGGCCCCGAAGAGAGGAGAGACGGAGAGAAGAGTGCCTACTCTGTATTCAACCCAGGCTGCGAGGCCATTCAGGGCACCTTGACTGCAGAGCAGTTGGAACGCGAGTTACAGTTTAGACCCCTGGAGGGGAGATAGGACCAACTCTTTTGTTATGCATCCAGCATCCCACGTGGTCCTCCTAGCCCTTGGACGTGGGCTTGTGGGTTTGATTTCAGGTGCCCAAGACTAAGGACAGCTGGCAGGTTAGTTCTGTGACTGTGAAGTTCTACATTCTTTCCCAGATCTTTTGCTGCAATTTTATCTCTGAACTTTTCTTTGGTTTTGGTGAAACCCCCTGAAAGACACTCACTGTGGATCTGATGCAACTTATAAAACTTACATACTCAGGAAAGAAAGCAGTTTGTCTCATTATTTGAGAAAGGTGGTTTTCAGAGCATTAGAAGGGCGCTGAGGAGATAACTTTAAAATACCCAGCTGTTTGAAGGAATGGTGAGATACATCAGGACTGTGTATTAACTAAGTGTTCTCTTTAAGTCATTTCATATTTATAGCATTCCCCCTTCCCGGAAAGTTTAAGTTTCGGTTTTTGTTTTTTGGGTTTTTTGCTGTTGTTGATGTTTGTTTTTTCATTGTTTTGTGGTTTTTGTTTTTTCCTTCCTGCTTTAAATCTTGCTTTTTTCGGTCATTAAAGGTATTGAAAAATAAAATATCTTCAAAACATCTACTTTTCAGAAACATCCCCATTGCCCATCACCAAATTCCACTCTCCTCAGTTATTCTGCTCCCACTCAATGAGGGAAGATAAGAGAAGACAGAGTCCTAAGTCACAGGTGTGGGGAGGGATTTCACAAAGTCAATATTGGTAGATTTGGCAAGTGGTTATTCATGATAAATTCAGCAAGAAAAATATTCTCGAGTGTGTTCACATAAGAGCTGTGGAAGTTGAACTCCAGACTTATTGGCTGCTCCGTGTGTTTCTTATATTCTGAGGGCTCTAGAGTAAGCAGTCCTGTCGCCTATGGCCTCTGGTGAGAAATTATGTAAACAGTGGTAACCAGACATGATTTCAGTCGCCCTTCCTTTTCTAGTACAAAGTTAGAGTTTGGGTTCATTAAAACTGGGCAAAGCAAACCATTTAATATCTTTTTCATGGATCATACTGATGAGTAAGAAGAGTCTGGTTTTAAAGCAATGGGTTTTTTTCTAAACTTAAGATTTTAAGAAATTAATGATTCCTCAATAGGTTTTCAGCTTTCGAATTCAGTTAGTCTTATATTATGACATTTTAATATTTATGAGGTGTTATTAAATAATGGATGCTTGTTGCTGAATTCTTTTTTCATTCCTGCCTGATTTGCTTATTATAGCAAAACCTTAGCTTAATTTAAATTTAACTTTTATTTATTGAGTGCCAGCACTGTGGTAGGCACTTGAGATAGGATAATGAAAAAAGCAGACATATTCTCTTTGCTCTGAGCATACAGTCCAGCTGGGAGTGGGGTGGTGGACAAAGTAAAACAAGCAATATCAATAATAGAGTGAGATGGGGTGCCTTGCTGGCTCAGTTGGAAGGGCATGTGACTCCTGATCTCGGGGTCATGAGTTCGAGCCCCATGTTGGGCATTGAGATTACTTAAACTAAATAAACAATTAAGAAAATAATAGAGTGAGATAAGTTTCAGTTATAGGAGGAGTACCGAGGGGATATTCTCAGGAATCACACTTTGTGGCTAACTAACCCATGTGTTTCAGCCCTTGTTGAACATTTTTCTCATCTGCTGAACATCTCTCTCCAGCCCCTTCCTGATTGGGAGTTTAGCTGTTCCTCAGAGTCATCTCTTGAGCACAAGTTCCCTTTAGTTCATAAAGAAGTCTTTTCTTGGGGCGCCTGGGTGGCTCAGTCATTAAGCGTCTGCCTTCGGCTCAGGTCATGATCCCAGGGTCCTGGGATCGAGCCCCGCATCGGGCTCCCTGCTCGGCGGGAAGCCTGCTTCTCCCTCTCCCACTCCCCCTGCTTGTGTTCCCTCTCTCGCCGTGTCTCTCTCTGTCAAATAAATAAATAAAATCTTTAAAAAAAAAAAAAAAGTCTTTTCTTCCATGACTTCCGTCTAACTGGGCCTCTAGAAAGTGTGGGAAACAGCAGAATCCCTATGAAACAGGCAAGTTTTGATTGTATTTAAGATACATGATATTGTTTCCTGATTTATTTTCTTAAGGCTTTCTTCATTTCCCTGATATTTTACTTGGGCTTTTACATTTCATAAAAGCCCAATACAAGGAAGAAATATCCCTGATCAAAGACTAACTACAATGCCCAGTTCAATAAGCATTGTTCTAGGAAAGAATTTTCATTTTAAAAATGTGTAATTCAAACTTTTACCTAAAACAAAGTGCCTGTAACTCTGAATTGGGAACATTTGATCCAATTAGCAATCTCAGCAAAGTAGAGACTTTGCTTAAGCATAGCAGAGACCTAACTTAGGAGTGGACCTCACTAGCATTCTTTGAAAATGTAGCTATTTATAATGAGGTGGAGCTTGATTGCTGTAAGCCCATCTTTCATGAGATTTTCTGTGCCCGGATCTGTTACCTCTCCTTGCTCACCTCTTGCCAAAGGTTGCATGTAATGACAACATTAACTTCTAGGAAAAGTGGTGTGTGAACCAATTAAATGCATGGCAGGGAAGAGGAAAGGACAGTATGTATTTGCTGTTCTTATCAGACCATTAAGCTTTAGGTGCAGTCTTGATTTCCTGAATTTAGAAAGGCCTATTGATCTCAGAATTTCCACTCAGGGCTCGACCATTAGCTCAGCACGCAGCTTCCATTAAAGGCTGCCTCTGTCACCAGGGAACTTGAAATCCCAGAGATGCATTCAGTCCCTATGATTGCTGTGTGCACGGGTAAGGTAATTTCAGTCCGAATCTTACAAGAAAATTGGTTTTTGCTTTTATTCACATTATCCTATCTCATCTATTCACAGAGACTGTTAAATGAACCTCTACTTCTAGGGCTGGAAGGGACCCCAAATGCACCCCCCTCACCTTGGGCACATTTATTCCTGACCAAAAATTTTTTTTTTTTTTCCTGGTGACCCTTAGAGAAGAATCCAGGTACAAGATATAGGCACTTTTTAGGAAATTTTTTACTGAAAGAACTTGAACCACCCCCAATGCCACCCCATGTTATTTCTTATCTAATCTCAGGGGACACAGAGCATCCTCCAGACTGGTGAACTGTTATTCTATTCGCTCTCAGTCCTCTCTGTCCTTCAGGCTGAATCATCCAAGTTGTACATCTGGGACAATCACTTTCAAGTTAGCCCTGACCTGTTCTGAGGTTCCAGGTCAGGACAGGGGTGAATGTCCCAGTTGGTGGGTGCAGTGACTTTTCTCAAAAGCTCTGGAGTTTTACCAGTGATGGTTTAGGTATATATATCTTATGCTATTAGGATTGTGCTTTGAGTCTAGGAGGTCTTCCACATTTGCCTTTTGACTGATCATTAAGATTAGGCTCATAAGCTCTGTGCTAAAATAAAAAAAAAAAAAAGTTACACAATTGGCAGAACGATGATGCTCAGCTGGACAGAAGAAAGTAAAATTCTAACTGCGTGTTTTGCTTCCTGCCAGTCACACTGTTAACTTTTTACCAGCAAATATTTGGGGAACTTACTGGAGAGCCAGTAAATGAGCTTGAGAAGTCAGTCTGAGAGCCAGGATACCTGTTGGGGCTGGGATGACATGGAGCGTCTTGCCACCAGGGGGTAGCATAGAGCTGCTGCTATACATCTTGGGCCCTTCACCCCACACTTGATAATTCATGTCACGTGGAAAACCCACTGGGATGCTTATCTGAACCACTTGTGCTGCTTTTTTAGGAGTTCCTTTCACTTTAAGATTCATAGAGGAAAGGGCTCATCAGAGGTCCTGGGAAAGGCACAGAAAGCTACCAGAAATGATTTATGCTGATATTTTAAAATAAAACAAGAGCCCGTCTCTGGACTTAGCAGGCAGCATGGCGCTTGAAGGGGTTAGCACTGTGCTTGTCTCTATCAGAGCTTCGTTGGGAGGTGGAGAGGGGGATACTAGAAACGTACACAGCTGGCAGAGAAACTTGATCCCTAAGCCAAAGAAAGTAAAATTTGAACTCTGTGCTTTTTTTATTTTGCAACATTGGAGCATTGGGTTAGATAAAGATTTGGATCTCTTAGAAAGCTGAGGAGAAGACAAAATACACAGAGAACCACATTATGAGGCATGTAACATAATACTGATGTTTATAAAGATCTAAGTAGTATGTGTGTGTGTTTGTGTGTGTGTGTGTTAGGGAAGGAATCATCAGAAGGAGAGATCACTTTCAAATCTAAATTCTAGACTACATAGGATTGTCACTTTTAAATGAAGAATACTGTTTTCTTAACAAGTCATAGATGAATATTTTGAAAAGTATAGACTATGGACCATCTGCTTTGGAATCTCTTGTAGTGATGCTAAAATGCAGATTCCAGGGCCCCTTCTAGACCCACTGCCCAAGAATGTATGGGAGTAGCACCCTGAGAATCTGCTTTTTAACAGCTTCCCTGGGGCAAGCTCCAGTTCACCAAAGATCAAGAGCCACTGATATAAATCACAGATGTTAAAATAGGAAGGAAACAGCGCATATGAGAGCCAAGCGAAGAAAGATGGGTGTGTATTTTAAAAAGGGGCCACAAGGTTTACCATTTTCTGAACTGTTCATTTGGAACACAGAGAGGGAAAGAACCACATGCATGGCTTTAAAATACTGAGGAATTAGCTCCAAAGACTGTAAGATAATTAAAGATGCATTATTTTTGAAGTTTTCTTTAAAAACAATTATTACAAAAAGAAGTACAAGCACATTTTAAAACATGTTGGAACTATAGAAAAGAATATTTTATTTTTGTACTCACATGCATACAGTTCAGAGTTCAAGAGGCACAGGAGATATGCAGGGGTAGAGTCTCCCTCCCCCGGGTCCTGCTATGCTCTGCCCAGCCCACAAATGATAGCACGCTATAAACACTATTCTGCACTTCGCTTTCTATTTTCTCTTTTAGGTTTTGGGCTTTATTTACATGCACTTAACATTTTTATGTAAGAGAATGACATGATCCAACTTTCATTTTTAAGAGAACACCTGGGCTATCATGTGGAAAGTACATTCTCTGTGTCCTTCATTTGTCTGTCCATCCACCCACCCATTCATTCATTCATTTATGGAGCACCTAACCTTTTTGTTCCCGTTGGTGAAAATGTTTACATATTTTTTTATTCAGCTACCTTTTAAGATTTTTTTAACAAATATAAACAGTATGGCAAAATTATTGGATTATGAAGTGTATTTATACATTCTGTTTTTTATGTTAAAGTGAAAGGTTTTAATTTGGGGAAACCAATAATATTAATGATAATGATCATTAAAAACTAAATCAGAATATCCTACAAGTCAACACAATAAAAATCACAAATATTTTAGAAAAGGAACCAAATAAAATCTGTAACCATTTATTTCCAAAACAGATACATTTGTGCATTAATCACTTAACAGCATTTTACTGAATACATTCTTTTTACTGAATTCATTCTTTCATCAGTGAAAGAATTATAATCCATAAATGGGACCAGATGAGACATAATAATCTACAAGCCAGCACCTGCTTTTTTAACTTCTATGAATATATCATATCTCTCCCTATCTATCTGCCCATCTTTATCCGTTGACCTGTCAGGCTGTCCTGTCTTCAGGTTTGGGTTATTTCTTATGAAGAGAATCAGAAGCCTAACGTAGTGTCTAATGTGGAGATTGATAGAGCAACTAATCTTTGCCAGGCCTGGTGCTAGGCTCTGCGCACACAGAGAGAAAGCACACAGGGTTCCTTTCTCAAGGAGCTCACAGTCAAATGAGAGAGACAGCCAATAATCAGATAGTTACAGGATAGTGTGGTAAGCGCTATGATGGTGATGTCTAAATGTGGGCCAGAGCATCAGGGGTCAGAAAGGGCCGGCCTCCTGAAGGTGCCATTGTACTGAGTTTGAAGGAGCATCAGGTACTCCCCAGAAAAACAGGCAGGGGCAAAGAGATAGCCTTTCAGTCACAAGAAACCACCTAGGAAAAAGGT